CCCTGGCAGAAAAACGGGGCTTTGGAAAGTTGACAACAGCAGGGCTGTGTGGGCAGTTGGGCTACTGGGGACGCCTCGCTGGGCATGCAGGGATGGGCAGGAGGGATCGCTTAAAGCACGGCATGCTGCTTGGGGGAGAGGGAAAACAATTCTTCAATGCTGGTGACGGCTTCAGTGTTTAATTTATTTCAGTTGTCCCATTCATAGTTTGGATTGAGCTGGGAAGAGTTGAAACTCCACCAGCCACCCAAACCAGGGTTTGGTGGTTCTCCTCTGACATGGGGGTCCCACTGGGGATCTGAGTGTCCCCCACGCAGGGAGCCATGGGGACAGGTCTGCTTCTGTCTCACCCTGAGCATCTCTGGCCAGCATGATGCTGATTTGGGGTTATTTTCCCAAGAAAACAAGGCTCTTGTGACACTGTGACACAAGAGGTATCTCGCTACAGTCACAGTGGTGGCTGGGCCGGGTGGTCTCGGCTGCAGTGGACCTTTGGCCAGGAGCAGTTCGCCGGAGGGACCGGCACTTTGGGCTCTTTTCGGGGAGGAGGGATGGGGCCACACGTGGAGTTTGGATCCTGGCACTTGGCCTGGGACAGTTAATGGTTCACCAGGGTCAGCTGGAGGGAACGGGGTGGCAGGGGGAGTGGAGTGGCTGCAGGCTGCTGGACTGTCCCTCGTGGGAGGCTTGTCGGGGATGGCCAGCCTTGGCCAACCTGCCTCAGCCCCTGGCCACTGTCCTTGGCACTTGCTGGGGGGCGGACGCTGCCCCACGCCTCCCTGCTACACCAGCTGAGAAAGCCCGGAATTCTCTGTGAGCCTGAATGTGCCAGGGAGGGCACGGGGAACGTCCTGGCCTTCGGGGAGCTTGCCGTGGTGTGGGATGTGCTGCTGCACTCGGCTCTGCTGGTGCACCCAGGCTCACGGACGTGTTTGGGCTTAGGGTGTTCCCAGCCTGCCAGCTGCCCCCTGCTCAGAGCAGGGCTGGCCACAGAGTAGCCTCAGGTTGCCCAGGGCCACCTCCTGGCATGGTCTGGAGCTCTCTGGGGATGAGCATCCCCAATCCCATCCCTGTCCCATCCCTCCTCACCCAACTGCTTCACCTTTCCCATCCTAACCCTTGCCCCCATACCCCAACCCCGGCAGCCACTGGTACCACCAGATTCGTGTGTATCCCCCCCCCCGCCAGCTCAGTGAGACAGCGTTTGTGCAACCCGTGCTGTTTTGGGCTGGGTGCCCTGTCCCTCCCCGCAGGCAGCCGCGCCAGCATCCAGACCGCCCTGCGCACCCTGCTCGCAGCACCCTGGCCCTCGCAGCGGGATGTCCGCTCCTGGCTCCAGCTCCTCTCCGTCTTGCAGTGGGTGCTCAGCTTCCTGCTGCTGGGTGAGTAGGGGGCTGCGGGGGGGTCCCAGTGGGACGGTTGCCTGCCTGCTCACCCCGCTGCCTGGCTCCCGCAGGAACCGTCAGCCTGCTGCTCCTCATCTACCTGGTGTTCACCAGCTTCTGGCCCATCTCTGCACTCTACCTGGCCTGGATCATCTTCGACTGGGACACACCGGAGAAAGGTGGGGACAGGCAGAGCCGCCCTTCCTCCAGCTTTGCAGCAGGATGGGGTATGGGGGTTCCCCATTTCTCTGGGTCCATCCCAGCATGGCAAATAGGGAGCACCACGTCCCACCCGATCCTACCCTCATCAGCATCGTGGCAGGAAGAGAGGGATGTGGCGGGTCTGTGGGGAGTGTTTCCTGCAGGTCCTGCTGCCCACTGGGGTGGGTGTCATGTCCTGCCGTCCCCCTCCGGTTTGCAGGTGGCAGGAGGCTGCCGTGCCTGAGGCGATGGCCCGTGTGGAAACACTTCCGGGATTACTTCCCTGTGAAGGTACGGTGTGGGGAGCCGGGGTGCCACGGTGGGGTGTTCGTGCAGGCCCTGGTGGTGGTACCAGCCGAAAGGATGTGCCACCGTTATGTCCCCACGACCCCCTTTTGTTCCCACAGCTGGTGAAGACTCATGACCTGTCCCCCAGCCACAACTACATCATCGGCTCCCACCCCCACGGCATCCTCTGCGTCGGTGCCTTCTGCAACTTCATCACGGGTTCCACGGGCTTCGGGGAGATGTTCCCGGGCATCCGGCCCTTCCTCACCACCCTGGCCGGCAACTTTCGCCTGCCCGTCTTCAGGGAGTACCTGATGAGTGGGGGTGAGTGTCCGTGGGCAGCAGGGGGGCAGCTGCCTGTCACCCTGCCCTCGTGGGCAGCCCTGCAGGCATGGGTGGCCAGCTGTGCTGAGTGGGTGCCCTGGGGACGCACCCCTTGCCTGTCCTGCTCCTGCCCAGCTCTGCCTGTGCTCAGGCAGACACGAAGGGGGCAATGCCCATGGGCAGAGGGGCTCCAGGGAGGGTCCCCGGTCCCATCTATGGGAAACCCGGGACTGACAGCCTCTGTGCTCCCCAGGAGCGGGCAGGGCAGGGGTGGTGCTCTGCCTGCACCCTGCCAGAATTCCACCCTCACTTTGCTTGTGCCCTGCCTGCACCCTGACCGAACTCCACCCTCACTTTGTTTGTGCCCTGCCCGCACCCTGCTCGCAGGTCTTGGCAGCCTGGGGGACCCCACCTCTCCCTGGGAGCTCTTCCACAGCAGCGGGTGGCCTTGCACTGTCCCTTGGGTGGTCCCTGCGTGGTGCCCTCCAGGCATGGTCCCTTGGAGGGTCCCCATCGCCCGGGCACCGCATGGGCAGGCAGTCCCACAGCACCGGTGTTCCGCTCTGCTGCAGGCCTGTGCCCCGTGACACGCCGTGCCATCGGGTACCTGCTCTCCAAGAACGGCACCGGCAACGCAGTGGCCATCGTCATCGGCGGCGCGGCCGAGTCGCTCTCCTGCCGTCCCGGCGTCACCACGCTCATCCTGAAGAACCGCAAGGGCTTCGTCCGCATGGCACTGCAGCACGGGTGGGTCACGGGCCCCACCACCGCGAGGGTCCAAGGGTCCTGGCACCCCATCACCACCCACTATGTCCCCTCCGCAGGGCCTACCTCGTCCCCTCCTTCTCCTTTGGGGAGAACGACCTCTTCCGCCAGGTGGTCTTTGAGGAGGGCAGCTGGATGAGGAGCATCCAGCTGCGCTTCCAGAAGATGATGGGTTTTGCTCCCTGTGTCTTCTACGGCCGGGGTCTCACCTCCGTCCGGTCCCGGGGCTTCCTTCCCTACGCCAGACCCATCACCACCGTGGGTGAGCATTGCCCACCGGGGCAGGGAGGACCCCCAGGAGGTGGAGGGGTGGAGGAGGAGGACACCCAGCAATGGGTGGCATTGGAAGGCAACGCTCGGCTCGTATCCTCAGTGAGCCGAGCACATCCCCATGCCACCAGCCTGACCTTCCTCCCCCTCCCGGCAGTGGGGGAGCCGGTGATGGTGCCCAAGATTGAAGACCCAAGTCGCGAGACGGTGGACATGTACCATGAGATGTACATCCGCTCCCTGCTCAAGCTCTTCGACGAGAACAAGACCAAGTATGGGCTGTCAGAGACGGATGAGCTGCACATCATCTGAGCGCGGCCAGCGCCAGTGGCCAGATCCTGGCTCACAAGGGCAACTGGCTCTTGCGGGTGGGGATTTCAGCCAGCCTGGCACAGGGGACACGTGGGGGACAGTCCCCACTCCAGCCTTCTGCTCCTCCGGCCGAAAAACCTGAGCGGGAGGTGGGAGGAGAGGAGGAAGCGAGGGGAAGGGGAGATTGGGAAAGGGTCCCCCTTGAAAGGGGTTTGGAGGCTGCGGGTGACACAACTGTCCCCCAAGGACATGGGGTTGATGTGGGGGGGGCTGGTGCAAAGCTGGGAGCCAGCAATGGGCATGGTGCCCCTGAGATAACCAGAACACCACAAGCTGAGGGAGGGAGGTGTCATGGGAGGAGGGAAAGAAATGGGCTCTTTGGGGTGGCATCCTGGGAAGAGACCCCCCCCTGGGGTGGAGAGGGGACACTCTTGGACTTGGGGACTCATGGAACTGGCCTCAGCTGGGACCATGGAGCCTTGGGTGGGGGCAAGTGCTGCTCTAGCCCCACATGAGCCTTTTCCACCACCTCTGTACCCAATACAGATTTCCAACCTCCCCCCCCCAGTGCTGCCTGTGTGTGCTAGGGGGGCAGAATCAGTGGTGCTGCGGCTGTACCCCCAAGCTCCCTGGGCAGGTGGACATACCACCTGCCTGTGTCCCCTCCCTGGCAATTCCACCTCCAGGGCTGGGGCTGTGCTTGGCAGGGACCCTTGAACTGCTCAGGTGCAACCAAGCAGCTCCTGGGTCCACCTGGGCCATGTCAGGTATAATGGGAGGTGAGGGGCAGCAGCTGTTCTTACTGGCTTAACTGGGCTTAGGAGAAGGGTCTCTCTCTCTGATTTCGACTTAGTGGTGAGTGAGGGGCTCTCTGGGTACCGCTCTCTGGTGGGATGGGGATGTTGGACTGGGACGTGGCGTCCCTGGGGCCCTCTCCCTCCCTGGGCAGCTCCTGGTGGGATGTTGCTGTGTGTGGCCAGTGCCATGCTCGTGGTTAGGGGGTGACACCCCGATGATGCTATGGATGTCCCTTCCCTAGGCGTGTGCTGGCAGGGCTCATGGGGGGCAGCCCCTCCCGGGGCTCCCCATGGTGAGGACAGGCCCATCCCATCCCTGCCTGGGCTGGCGTGGGACAGTCACCATTGCTGATAGCCATCTCTCATCTGCTCCTCTCTGCGCAGGCATTTGGTCAAACAAAAGGGCTGGGTAAACATTTGGAAAGCAAACACCCATAAAGGCAGATTCCCAAGGACTCTTCCGTCACCACAGTTGTCACCACGCCAGCTCCTCATTCTGAACCTGCCCCAGCACCGGCGCTGAGGCGGCGGGTGGCTTTTGTCTGCTCTTGAACACTTTCTGGGCTGAGGGTGGGCATCTCGTCCCTCTTCCTTCTGCTACAGGGAGAAATAGGTCTGGGTGTAGAGAAAGGGGAAGGGGTTTTATTGTGGGGTTTCAGGCAGTGAGTTCCCTGTTCCATGTCCCTCCCCACCTCTCCCATGGCCAGCGGTGTGACAGGGGTATCTCCTCTTATTATTTGCCAGACACATGAGGGACCCAGCGCCGGCTCTGTCCCCAGGTTCAGTCTGGTCCCCGGACGTCACTGTTGAGCAGACTGAAAGGGCTGTGCATGCCCAGGGAGCAACCAGTGTCCCTTCTCTTTAGTGACCTGCCAGCTCCCACATGTCCCTAGGAGTGCCTCGGGATGGGACATCAGCCTGCCTCCCCAAAAGGGCTTTCTCAGCATCCTTCCCACTCCCACAGGTGCACAGTGGCTGTCCTGCCCTGAGTGTCACCAGCACCCTCTTCCCATGGCATCCCGGGGCAGGGCTGGGACAAGCCCCATGGCCACTGGCCCTTAGCCCTGCGGTTTCTGCCCCTGCAGAGGCTGGGCAAGGGCAGGTCAGGGTTGGGGATCTGGGGGTGCCAGGGTGCCCACGTGGAGCCTGGAGAGGCTGCAACTCCTGGAGACCAGGGATGAGGTTACTGGAACCCCCTTTGGCCCCTCAGCACCCACCTCTGCCCTGTGCTGTCCCTGCCCCTTGGGTGTCACTGTCAGTGTGGCTGCCACCTGCGATGTTGTCTATGGAGGGGGATACCAGGGCCAGGTTGCACATGGGCATGGGCCGTAGGCGCTGGGCTGGCCCCCGGCGCAGCCGCCCCCGGTACTTGTCCCCAACCATGAAGTACAAGATGGGGTCGAGGCAGCTGTTGATGCTGGCCAGGGGCCGAGTGATCTTGTAGGTGAAGTTGATGATGTTGAGGGTCAGGCAGTTGGCTTGGAAGTAGCGGGAGGTGTAGTAGATGGTCCGAGTGATGTGGAAGGGCACGAAGCAGATGGCAAAGACACTGAGCACAATGATGATCATCTTGATGGAGCGCTTCTTGTAGGAGGGCATTCGGGGGCTGGGGCTGGAGAAGCTGGACTTGCAGAGTCTCTTGGCCATCAGACAGTAGCAAAGGACAATCACCAGGAAGGGGACCCCAAAGAGGAGGGCCATGACAGAGGAGCTGTAGTGCACATAATGGTCGAACTCCTCCGGCTTGGTGGTGTCGTGGCACAGGGTGCTGTTGCCCTTGGAGCTGGTGGTGACAAAGATGAGGTTGGGGATGAGGCAGATGGTGACAACAAGCCAGGCACCCACGCAAATGATGCGGGCATGCTTGGTCTTCACCCACTTCAGGGAGCGGATGGGGTGGCAGATGCCCATGTAGCGGTGGATGCTGATACACGTCAGGAAGAGGATGCTGCTGTAGAGGTTAGCGTAGAAGAGGAAGCGCACGATCTTGCAGAGCCATTTCCCGAAGGGCCAGTTATTGCGGTCAGCGTAATAGTAGACCAGGGTGGGGAGGGAGAGGACATAGAGTGTGTCGGAGACGGCCAGGTTGAACATGTAGGTGGTGGTGGCGTTCCAGGGCCTCATTCTGAAGATGAACATCCACAGGGCCCAGGAGTTGAGGGCCAGGCCCACCACAAAGACAATGCTGTAGGAGACGGGCAGCAGGATGAACTTGAACTCCTCATTGAAGACGCACTTTGTCTCTGCCACGGCGGTGGTGTTTCCTCCTGGCCAGGGATCCAGCGTCGGTGTCCACAGGGCAACTGGGAACGTCCTCACTGAAGTGGCCATGTTCTCCGGGCCAGATCTAGGGGAGCAGTTAATAAAAGCGCATTAGTCGTTGATCCCGACCATTGTCAGGCACAAAGCGTGGAAGGGAGCCAAAGATGCCAGATTTTCCCCCCCTCCAGGAGCTCCGGCCACTTTGATGGTTCTCTGGTTTTTCTCAGCTCGCGCGTTCGGGCCTCGCGGGGAGCTGGGGGAGGCTTGACAAATCCTCCCCTTCGCAGCCCCCGCAATGACACCCATTAATCATCCCTTTGAGCAGCGCGCAGTGACACCAGCGCCGCGTGGAGCCGGGAAGCGTGCCTGAGACAGAGGACCGCGCCGGCCCCGCCGGCCAGCAGCCCCATGGCGAGCCGAACAATGAGACCTTTATGAGCAACAGCAGCCCCCGGTCGGTGCCAGCGCAGCCTCTTGGAAGCCGGCTCAGCCTAATTGGCACCATCCTGACAATGCTGCTCGTCCCAGAGGGCTCCTTGACAGAAGAAAGGCGGGAGGAGAAGAAAGGCTTGTCTGGGGGAATATTATGGCCCAGAGAAATCCTCAGGGGGGCTGTTAAAGGAGCCTTTGGGAGAGAGCGTCCCTGGATGGTGAGGGGCCTCCAGCTGCCGGGTATTCTCCGTAGGAGAGGGATGATCTAAGCTCTGCAGAGAGGAGCTGCACCGGAGCCAAGTCCCAGCCCAAGACGGCACAAGTTCATAAGGAAAGCAGGACGTTTCCCCCTCTCTTCAGCGTTAGGATCAAAGGCTGGGATCTGCATCCTCCTGGCACATTGGGCCCTGGGGCTGAGGCGTGAGGGTGTGCTGTCAAAGGGTTCTGTTCGCCTCTCAGGATGTGTTCAGAGCCCACTCTCCAGAGGGAAGAAGGAGCTTCTGCCTCCATCATGGTGTCCAGCAAAGCAATGATGAAGGCTGCCTGTGCCTTGGCCCCTCCGTGCCCACCACTATCCCTGGAGAAGCGATTTTGGAGCAGCCACTTCTGCTGGCTGAGGATGGATGCTCAGATGAGTAACCTGGGAGCAGGAGCATCTGCCATGCTGCCAGCAGAGACAAAGGTGTAGCCCAAACTGCATCTGATAGAGAGAGCACTGGTATGTCTCCAGTTTCTGTTTGTCCAGAGCTCACCCAGGAGGTGATGGGCTCTGAGACGGAGGAGGACTTGAGGCTCAGGGAGATGATGTGTGTTAGTGGGATGCTGGTGTCGGTGGTACAAGGTGGAAGGCTGCGTCCTCTCAGGCTTCTCCATCCCTTGCCTCCCTCATCATCCCCCTCCTGTTTGCCCCTGTGCAGCTTGGCAGCTTCTTGTGGCAAGTGCTGTTGGCAGGAATATCCCGTAGGGTGTATCCATGGGGCCAGCTGAGCTGCGATCCAGCTTCTCCCTGCAAAGCCCCACCTGGAGAGACATCCCTGGCTTTACAGAGATGATGATAAATGAATCAGCAGGCAGATGGGCAGGCGGGTGGCCGTGGGACCGGCCCCTCCGTGACACACGCATCCCCGTGCCCTCTGTTTGCATTGTGGGCTGTGCTGCAGCTTCAGGCCCACATTAAACACCCTGTAGCTTCCTTCCCGCTGCGGCTGGTGCAGGCAGCTGCCTGGTTTTATTACAGGGATGAGTTCAGAGAGCAACAGGCAAGTCCTGATCAAACATTAACAGTGGGAAGAATTTGCTCTGTTTTCCCAAAACCAGGAGGTAAAAGCAGCTGGTAGGAAACCCTGAGCCTCCAAGAGCTGATGCCAGCGGTGGTCTCACGGGGTGCTGTGCTGGTTGTGTTGGATCCAGCCCAGCAGCTGTGTCTTCTCAAGCTGCGATGCTGCTGAGGACAAGGAGACACCAGGAAATTTGTTTTCTTCTAACCTCTGAGTGCAAGAGAGCATGAAGTTTTGAGCCTGATCAGACCGGAGGTGCTGCAGGGTTCAGTGACCAAAGCCAATGTCCATGACATAGGTCAACAGACAGCTAAGATATGAAGAAGTCAATAAATAAAAAATAATAATCTGGTGTGAGAAACATATAAGAAAAAAGCCTGAACAGCTGTGTAGTGCTGGGCTGCTCAGAGAAGTGTGCAGGTACATGGCTTCTGGCAGCTGATAAAGCCTGAGCACAGTCAGTGCTCAGCAGCGTGATTTAACTGTTCCTAAGCAAGCTTCCTTTGGGGGTAACCACCGAAAAATAAAAATGCAAAAGAAGATGACACTTGGCAAGCTTTATTTCAACAGGTTTCCTGCTTCCTCATCTTAGTCATGATCAAAATCTGCGGTTTAAATTACTGATTCACATCAGTCCACCCCGAGGACACGTCACTACCAGGCCCATTTCTACTCCTTGCTGACGTCCCCAGGAAGCTCTCTCTGGCCACAGCCTGTCCAGCGTGGGCTTTCCAAGGAGGCACTGAGCACAGCCACGGTGAGGTCTGAGCCAAGTGTTCGGGCTTGCTGCCGGGACGGGAGGTGGGAGGCAATGCAGGGAAAGGACATGGAGCTGGGGAGGCGATGCCTCCTCCTGCCCTGTCCGTTTTGTGGATGCACAAGGGCTGTGACTTTGGGCAATCCCTTGCCCGTGGGAAGCACATCCCCCTGGGACAGTGCCTGTGGGCTGGTCCCTGCCTGTACCCCGGGAAGCAGCAAGGGGTCCTGCAAAAAACCCACACGGCCATCCACCAGCAGAAAGGGGCTGGGACCGGCCACAAGGCCACGCATGGCGGGGCACGTGCTGCCCTTGGCCCTTTGCTGCAGGAACAGGAGCTCAGCCCTGGCTCCCAGCCCCGTGGCTGTACCCAGCCTGAACCCATCCTTTGGTCCTGTGGGCAGCACCGGCCCCGGTGGGAGCCGGTGGTCGCCCCCAGCCTGGGGTGCCCCCAGCCTGGGGTGCCCCAACAGCTGGCTGAGGCTCCTGCCCTAGGGATTTACAGGACTGTTGGAAAGGCACCAATGGAATGAATGAGTGGGGCAGCACGGAGAGCAGACTCTGCCCTGGAGCCAAAGTCCTGGTTTCTGGCAGGTTGGGATGAGGGGGGTCAGCAATTGGGGTGTAGCGGGCAGGAGCTTCAGAGTGGGCACATGAGAGTGGATTTTGGAGGAGAGTGAACTGTTGTTGAGGGGTGTGGGGCTGAGTGAGCCTGGGACCGGCTGCTGCTGGAGCACAGGAAAAACAGGGCTTTTCTTCTCGCCTAAGCTCTCAGAAATTGCAAAACAAGGGGAAATTATGCAAAACATCCTGCAGAAGGACCCTTGTCCCTAATCGCCACGTGGTTCATGCAGCCAAAGCCCCGGCACAAGGGGATCGTGACCTAATTTCTTTTCACTCCTTCCCTTTGACTGCAAGAACAGCCAAAGCACGATCTGCCTGTGCTCCCCCAGCACTGGTGCCTCCTCCCTGGGGATGCCAGCAGGGTTGGGTGCTTCTCTTGCTGCCCACCACGTCCCCTGTTCTGAGGTGACCCCCTTTCTCAGTGGGGTGGGAGGTGAGGGTTTCCTTTCACCCTTTGGTGGGCTGTCCCTGTGTCTCTGCCCTTTCAGGCTAAGCTGCAGCAGCCCGAGGACAGCTTTGCCCTGTGAGGAGACAGCGATTTGGGGGATGGAGAGGAAGATGAAGGAGAGAAAGTGGCCACACTAGCGAGGCTGAAGGCCCTTGGTGATGGGGGAAGGCAGTGAGTGTTAGAGAGAAAGATGCACAGAGAGAATTGGGGATGGTGGAGGCATGGGGAGAACTGGCTCACCCCCACCCCACACCCATCCAGCCCTGGGGATCCCACCTTCATCTCTTGAGGAGTCAAAGCTGGTCCCCACAGGGCCCCCCGAGTCTGGCTGGGTTTGCACGGCCACGGCGGGACCATCCTGGCTGCAGGTCTCCACCAAGCATGGGCTGCCCCGGCTCACCTGCGGTCCTGGGCTGGGGTGGCTCTCAGGAGCGGGACTCCCCCCGGGAGTGCCTGTCCCCCGCGGGGCTGGGGGCCATGCTGGAGAGGCTGCGGGCTGCCCTTGGCCGTGCCGTGCCGTGCCGTGCCGTGCCGTGCCGTGCCGTGCCGAGTGTGCCCGCTCCCGCTCTCCCACTGCTGGGAGCAAAGTGCCCGGGAGAGGCAGGGCTGGAGGCGGGCGGAGGCGGGGGCAGGAGCCCGCAGTGCCCCTGCCCGTGTCCCTGCCCGTGTCCCTGCCCGTGTCCCTGCCCGCCCCAGGGGCTGCCCACAGGGCTCAGCCCCGCTGCACTCCCATCCATTGCCCTCGGAGGCTTTGAGCCAGGCACAGCCCCCGCAATAGCCCCCAAGACTTGTGGGCTTCACCCATGGGGGTCACAGCCCTTTCCCTGTGGGGGACAAGGACATTTGGCCATGAGCACCACCGACCCTCAACCACGAGGGCCATAGCCCCTCATCTGTGGGGACTACATCCCCCGGCCCATGGGGTCCACAGCCTCTCGCCCACCCCAGGGCAGCCTCCCAGCCCCACCGGGACCACGCAGCTCCCAGCAGTGCCTGCACCCCAGGGTGCTGCCCTGCTGGCACCCTAGCCCTGCGGGGCGATCCTGGGGACAAAGGTGGCCACTGCCACCTTGAGGCCAGCCTGGGCATAGTGGCCCCAAAACCGGGTGTCCCGGCAGCCACGGCCCTGCTGGGTCTGGGTGTCCCCACGTTTTGAGGGGAGCAGCTGCCCCCACTGCCTGCAGAGCTGTGCCCGGTACAGGGGATTCAACTCCTTTGTGAGTGTGCAGGTGGGTGAAGGGCGAGTGCTGTGCAAACACATCAGCATTGCGGCGACCAAGTCATGCCAGGGGCAAACGGGTGCACTCCAAGATGTGGGGGATCGTGGCCAAGAGCAGGCCACCGCGGGGGAAGCAGAGGCACAAGGGACTGGGTGGCTGGTGGGGGGGCAGCCCAGGGGTGCTTGGCCACGGAGGAGGAGAATGGGAGACCCTGGGTGTGCAGGGCTGAGTGGGCAGAGCCAGTGTGTTCGGAGGGGAACCGTGCCACCGCAAGCACCCCCTGAGGACAGAGCCAGCCCAGTCTGGCACAGGAGCCCCACTGGAAACTGGGCAAGGGAAGCCTCAAGGGTTGGGGTTTGTGGGGTCCCCAATTAAACAGTGGGAAGCGGGGGACAGAGCAGCTGAGGCACCAGAAGCCAGTGTTCTCCCCACCCAGCTTGCCTGGCTTGGATTGGCTCAGCACACACCCTCCTTGCCCCTGCACAGAACCAGGCATTGCACACATGCACACCAGTGTTCCTGAGACTTTATTCTGGATGAGGGTAGTAGGGGCATCTCATAAGGAAATGGCGTCGCAGCCTTCAGGGGTGGCTGCTGTCGAAGTCCTCTGGGAACATGGTCGGAGGAGGGAGCAGCTGCCGAGGCTGAAGGCACAAGGGTGCGCGGGGCTGGGCTAGCCACAGATGCTGCTGTGCCCTTGCAGGCTGCAAGTCGGCTGCCTGAAGATGCTGAGCCTCGAGCTCCAAGGCACCCAGTGGTCCCCACTTTCCAAGTGGCCTCAGCAACTCCCATATACCCCATCCCTCCTTGCTGGTGGGGCTCAGCACGGTCCTTCCATTGTTTTGGGGGAGGAGGATGGAGACAGGCAGTGACACCCAGAAAGTGTCCATCCCAATGGTCACAGGAACTTCCCAAGGCTTTCTGAGTCGCTCGCTGGTGAGGTCAGACAAGTTGGGAGTGTGGCCAAGAGGTCCAGCCCTCGGTGCCTCCTCGGCAGCTCTCTGCCTGCCCTGGGAGCTCCTGAGAGCAGAGCCCACGCAGGTGCTGGGGTGGGGAGAGGTGCTCTAGGTGCTGGGTCCGAGGTCGGGTCTCCGCGGCAGGCTCACTGCGGTGCCCTCACCAAGCTTGCTGTGGAAGAGTCAGGGATGGGTTGGGCTGAGCACCCCAACCTCTGTCAGGTCCTGCACCATGATGTCTCTGAGCACGGGGTAAGGGGGAGCAAGTGTTGGGGGAGCTGCTGAGAGAGAGCAGGGAGCCCACAGGGCCCCAGGGCATCCACAGAGATGTGGGGACTTGATATTCTCCTGCCCTGCTGCATCCCCACCCCAAGGCTCACCTCTCCTCCCCCCAGGGGTGTAAGGCTCTGCCAGGGACCCCAGGTCCACAGGAGCTGGCCTGCACGGTGCCCCCCTTTCTGAGCTCCAGGGCCTGAGGGTACCTGAAGATCTCCAGGTGGTCCCAGCCATGCTTCTGCAGCCCTTCCTCATCCTGCTGCAAGCTGAGGTGGCCCAGGCACCCACCGACACCGCGGGACTGCTCACCTCTGTCACAGGGCCACTGGGGAAAGAAGAACAAGGACACGTGCCAGCAGTGTGACACCAGGACCATGAAGTCCCCACCTTCACATCCTCACCCAGCATGAATGGGACACCCTGCTGCTCCTCTGCCTTCCCCTGTATCCCACTGCCTGCACCATGGTGGCTCCATCAGGCAGAGCACTGCCGTGGAAATGGGACCTCGCATCTGCTGGTGGCCTTGTGGCCAACAACAGGTCCTCTCCCCTCCCTGAGCTCCTCCAAGCACCTCAGCTGAACTCCAGAACCCTGCGGGGACCACAGCGGTACCTCTCCAGGATGGCCGTGCTGGCGAGCATCCGGCAGGTGCCTCGGCACCTCCCGGCAGGGCCGCGGGGGTGGCTCCAGGGTGCTGTGGGTCTGACGCAGCAGGGTCTTCTGGCTGTCCCCTCCACACTCGGGGGACCCCCGGTCCAGTTGGCTCAGGCAGGTGGCCATCTGCAGCGCCGTCAGTGAGCAGTCGCCCAGCCCTGGCGTGTCCCTCACCAAGACAGCCGATTTGGGTCTCTTCTGCCGGCCCACCCCAGGGGGGCTGAGTGGGCACCCACGGGACGGGCCCCCTGGCACACAGCGGGGGCGGCCACCCCACCGCTCTTCCTCTGAGGGTGAAGGGACTCGTGCCCCGAGGGGGCTCCGGTGTCGCTGGCCCCCAGCTGGGCTCTCTGCTTGTTTATTGTGGGCTTCAACAGCACCGGGGGCCAGCACCCACGTGTTGGGGACCCCCTCAAAGATGAAGTAGGCTGGGTTGGTGTAGCCAGTGGCTGGCTCCGGGAGGCTGCGGGGCCGGCTCCTGCAAAGCACGGTGGAGGGAAGGCTCAGCATCACCCCACGGCCGGGGCTCGCGGTGGGGCTGAGCCCAGCTGGGGTACCTGAGGCGCTGCAGGGGTGGCTTGGGGCATGTCGGGGTGTCTGCTGCTGGCTCAGCATCCTCCTCCTCGAAGCTGATCCACTCTGCAAAGGCATCAAAGTCTGGCCTCCTCTGCCCACAGCTGGGGTCCAGGAGGGCGGCGTGGGCATGGGTAGCTCCCAGCCATGCCATGCCCGAGCAGGGCCCTCAGCCCCCATGCCCAGGGCGATGGGAGGGGGCTGGTGTGCAGCCGCCGTTACCGTAGAGCCTCTCACGGGTGCTACGCCTGTCCTTGGGGACACGGATTTTCATCCAGCCCCGCATGGAGCCCGTCTCCTCACCACGGTGGAAGAGGAAGGTCTCGAACTGCTGGGCCATGCTGCCGATCATCGACCTCATTGCGATGCAGCACTCACCTGCAGGCACAGCGCATGCCTGCGTTAGCCCCCCACCCCCCAGTCAGTTTGGGGGACAGGAGAGCCCCCCCATACGCAGTGGCACCCCAGAGTGGGGTGGGTGCTAGGGTCCCTTCTGCTAACCTCCAGCTGTAAAACCTTACACCCAGCAGGCTGTTGCCTGAGCCCTGGGGGGGCTATGCTTGGCACCCCCTCTGCCACCACAGTGGCCCTTGCGGCACCGCCCCGCACGCACCGTAGGACTCGCAGCTCTCCACACCCTTAATGCTGAGGAGCAGATGCTGGTCCCCCAGGTACTCCAGGTCTGGCAGGATGGGGTTCAGCTGCACATGGAGAGAAGGGTGATTGGGGGGGGGCTGCCACAGGGGAGGGTGTCACAGAGGTGGCTCTGACCTGGGAGAGGACGGTGACAGCCCCCAGCACCTGTTGGGGCTCAGGGTATGGAACCAGTGGGAAGGATGGGGAAGAGGAGGGAGAAGGATGCTCAAGGGCTTGGCGGGGCCAGAGCTTGGCCCCCCACCCCAGTGCGTACCACAGGCAGATGCTTTGCAGACCAGCCCAACCTGAGGAATCCAGGGATGTCACAGCTCTGGGAGGTGTTCTCCCCACTCCGCTGGGCCTCTGCCGAGGGAGAGCAGGGGCACAGCTCCAGCCGAGGCCAGCTCGCCCCCGCAGCGCACCCCCAGCACTCCGACACCCCAGCCCTGCGGGGCCACCTCACCCTCCAGGCAGTAGGAGTGGAACTCGATGTAACACTTGCTGCGGCTGGCAGTTTTCACGATCACCTCGATGCTCTCCCACTCGATGCAGGCCAGGGGCTCGGGGCTGGATCCGGGAGCTGCAGGCAGGTACCAGCAGGTCGGCGTGCACCAGGGCAGCCACGGCTTTCCCCAGACTGGGAAAGGGGAGTGACAGGCTCCAGCCCCTTACCCTTCTTGGGCACAAACTGCGACGTCACTCCCACCTCAAAGGTGGCAAAGACGGGCGAGTGGTCGCTGGTCACGATGTCGTCAGTGCAGCCTGGATGGTGGGAGGGGGCAGCTGGGTGATGGTCCCTGAGCCCTGGGGTCCCGGACAGCGCTGGCCACCCAGGGTTCCCCCCAGCCCTGGGGTATCACTCACCATAGGAGTTACAGACCACGTGGGTCTCCGGATGTGACTTCCACAGGATGCGGTCACACCACGAAGGGACATTGATCCTCAGCTGAAAATGGGGAAAGCAGCTGGCTTCAGTGCACCCCTCAGATCTGGCTCTCCCCATCCCAGAAAAGCAACCCAGCACCCCAAAAAGTGATCTCTCTCCCACCTGGACCCCCTCTGGGGAGGGAACAGGCTGGCAGAGGTGTGGGGGCTGAGCATCACCATGCAGCCCCTGCCCCATCCAAGCCTGCCAGCCCTGTCCCCCAGAAATGTCCTGCTGTTCGGTGGGAGGCTCCGGGAACTCACCCCCGTGGGCTTGAACTTCTGCCACATGTA